TTTAAAGGCACCACAGGATCCTTTAACAGACAAAGCTTGTTTCTAATTGAGTTTTTGGGTGGTTTGAATGCCAGTCGCTTTTATTCCTGTCTGGTTAAGAATTCTTCGTAAGGCTTCCGAGGTTCCTTCATTGTATGGAATTACTGTTGATGATTGAATGGTTGTTTTTGTGTTGTCGTTCGATCCCCGGCCGACTCACTCTTTTACCTCACTAAGCCAGTAATAAAACCCGGTAAAGAGGAAAGGTTGGGCATGAGGCTAGCAACCCCATCCTGTAAAAGTAAACACTGCTACAGAAATTTCAAGCCACTAGCTTGGAGCCCTATGTTCCACTGGGAAAGTGAAGGAAAAATTATTGTTATTATTTTGTGTTTTCACACCTTTTAGGTTACTTGTATTTTACTGGAACTGATTGTTTCTTTGACTTGAACTTTGCCTTCTGTGTGTGAGATTTGTTTCTCACTGGTTGATAAATTTTGTCTATCTCGATGTGTCTATTGAGTGATGATTCACTGGAATACCAGACTGGCTTGTAAAACCATTCTCTAGCATTCTTGTTGTTTCGTCTGTCGAATATTTGAACGCTGGTTGTCCCAGTCGAATTGATGTCCGTGGTTGTCTCTCTGTATGCAGTGAGTGATATGAGCGAGGGAGTGGATATCGTGTCTTCTGACGGCTAGTTTATGTTCGTGGATACGAAGATGAAGGGAACGTCCACTTTGGCGAATGTAGTGTTTTTCGCAGTTGTTACAATTTATTTATCTTTATTTTACTGTTGAGTCTTTTGGTTGACATAGAGTCAGCCAGCTGAGTGAAGTGATTTTATAGGTTTGTGTACGATGTCAATTCCTAAAGGTGTGAAGAGTCTTGCATTGATTTATTGTGAGATATCCTTTATATGTGATGGTAGGCGGATTTTCTTTGTGCTTTCCTTGGGGGGCTTTTGGTTTGATAGGTTGGCTTGTGAATATATGTCTTTGGATGAAATTCCGTGGATAAACATCCTCCTTCTTATTCCAAAAGAATATGATGGGGTCACCAGCACTAAACCTGATATCTACTCTCTTTCTTTGAACTTAGAATCGATCGGTTGGTAAACTATTGAATCAGTTTAACTAGACAATGTCAAAGAAACTGGATTATCTACAGACGAAAACCAACAAGTTGTCAGAATAAGTGACCAATATAGGATTTCAGGTGAATATGGAGACGACAGGGGTGTGATGGAGATACCCAGCAAACAACAACAGCATACATCAATTAACCTAATTCGGAGAAATAGTAAGGAAGACACCTCTTTCACGTATCTAGACAGCGGCACAGATGAGGATGTCGAATACACGATCAGGAGATGTGAAAGTGGATTTTCAGTACTCTGAAATTACAGAGTGGAAATCTGTTGCACTCAGGATAAAGAAGGGAATTCGGATTTTCAACACTAATGTCAACTTAATGATTCGATGTGGTTCACAGACTTACGAATTGGACCTTGCAGACTTTGATCAACAGCTGCCATTGGGTTCATTTACTGGAGATCGGTTGGCAACAAGGAACATTCTGCCAACGGAAACATCAGGAACCTATTACCCAACCAATGTGTATGTAAGATCAATTCTATTCCCATCCTTGAATCAAGTCAACCTGTCTCGGATCAGCCTAGCGTTGTTGCAACCCAATTATCCATGCCTGACGTGTCTATCCCCCTTGTTTAATGAAATGTGTGTATGTGTTTTTACCTCGATCCGTTTAGTCAGACAGTTGAACTCATGACCCAATCAGAGTATTTTGTGAACTGTTATTTTTGCTGTGACCCATGTCTTAGTTTGTACTATTCTGTCGAGTTTATCTTATTTATTGATCTTCATCTCTATCTTCCTACCTGGTTAAGTAGCCAATTAAATTCTATCTCTGTCCCTATGTTAATATATGTGTAAAACTTGGGCACTGTGGTATTAAGTAATTCCATATTAGTTTGATTATTAAATGTATCACACAGTGAAACAGTATTGTATACTGGATGTGTATACAGTCCAGTATACAATACTGTTTCTCTGTCCCTATGCTCTGTCTATCTCTTAACCTGCCTTACTTGGGTTCATTCCTCTACTAACTGCTTGCCTGAACGGTCGTGTCTGATTCCGGCTAGTCCTCAATTTTGGCTTTAACGTTATTCCGCTCTGATAGCGGTACCTTGCTTTCTGTTAAGCATTGTGCTTTGTACTCTTGAAACCGTTAAGGTTTGTTGTATATATATAATTATTGATTTGTTTATTAATAGTACCGTAGAAACAGTGACCGGCTTCTTGTTTGTTCTGGATCGGGATAGCCTTTATCTACGCGTGACTTAATTTCAAGCGATATTGCGCTTACAGTGTAGAAAGAAAAGGGAATATATTGGACTTGTAAGGCAGATATCGTTGAGTGATATCTCAATCCAGGTCATAGTTCAAGTGGAACGTGAAAATGGGTATCAGAGATTGGTGAGGAGGGTTTCCAAATGTGACACATGGAGAATATCGTGTCAGGAGAAGATATGAGAGATAATGGGCAATTACATAGCACAGAGCCAGCTAGCTAGCTACCGTGCACTGCAAGGAACATGATGAAATGCCGGTATTATTATTATTGTATCCTTTAGTTCCTAGAGGAACATAGGGCTTCAGCCCTACGTCTCCATTACCTTCGGTTTTCTGCCAACTTTTTCACCTCGCTCCAAGTCTGCCCACACGCTTTCATCTCCTCCTCGCATGACCTCCTCCAAGTCACCCTTGCAATGACGACCAACTCACCGCTTCCCTTTCAGGTTCCACTCGAGCGATGTCTTGGCGTGTGATTTCACATGACGATTTTCTCAGAGTATGGCCTCCAATCCATCTCCATTTCTTCCAGCCTATTTGTTTCACAATCGATTCCTGGTTGATTGGTTCGCTCCCAGAGATCCCTTGCTGTTGCTGATCTTTTCTGGCCATCTGATCTTGAGTATTGAGCGAAGACAGCTGCTAATGAAGGTCTGTAGTTTGTTTGAGGTGCTCTTTATGACTCGTCAAGTCTCTGATTCGTATAGTAGGACTGACTTCACATTGGAGTTGAAAATCTCGATCTTTTTTTTTCGTGCTGAGTGTTGTTGACTTCCACACAGATTTGAGAGCAATGAAAGCTTGTCTTGCTTTTCCGATTCTGGCTTTGATATCCTCGTCAGTTCCGCCTGTAGTTGAGACGATGCTTCCCAGGTAGGTGAAGGAGGCTGTTTCTTTCAGGTTCCTCCCATTTATGCTGTCTGATTGTTGTCTGTTGTTTTTGTTGATGTAGGCTAGGAATCTTCATCACCTCTGTTTTATCTATGTTCACTTGAAGTCCCATCTTTGATGCTTCTTCTGCCAACTTGTTACTTTTCACTTGCATATCTTCCAGTTTGTGGGAAATCAGACATATATCATCGGCGAAATCCAGATGAAATGCCGGTGAAGCTGTTAAAGTCATGTATATCATCAAAGGAATAATTAATAATAATAATAATAAAACACATTCAACTGATAGGTAATTAGCTTTCATTATCCCTTGAAATTTTCGAGAAAGATATATTTTTCTTTTTTCTATCTCATTAACTCTGTTGACCTTAAACTTCAGTTATAACCATTAGGGTAGGATAGGGAGAGAGAAGTTTCCACCTTTATTATTCGTTTCACTGTGTGTTCGTTCTTATGCTTTTCATTATTGTATCATTCATTATTGCTGAATTATTGACCTACTCAGTTGTTGTTGTTTTTTGTTTCTCTCTCAATTATTTTTTAAGTGATTACTATTCTTTTATTTATTTTTTTTTGTTTTTATTTATTTCAAAGCAGAGTAGCATACATGGGAGCTGTGTTAGCAGAAAAAATCGATCTAGCTAGCAATCTCTTCACATAAACAATCTATTTACAATATTGATGATACTGGTGGTTTGATGATGGTTAGGTAACATCAATCAGTCAAGGAATGATTAGAAGATCAAAGGAGTACTAGATAGCTGTTTCTTCCTGGTTTATGACTGTTCAGCAGTAAACACCTGACAGGATTCGAATCCAGGACCTCTTCTGATCATAAGGTAAGTTCATAGATCGTTCAGCCAATAAATAGCCCATGAATTTTACTTTAGCCAGTTCGCGATATAAAAGAAGTAAAAGCAACAAGCTGGCAGAAGAAGCATCAAAGATAGGAAGGACTTCAGGTGAACATAGAGAAAACAGATGTAGTGATGAAGATTCCTGGCCAACAGCAAACAGCAACAACAACAACAACAGACAGCAATCAGCCAGCATAAATGGGAGGAATCTGAAAGAAACAACCTCATTTACCTACCTATCTACCTGGAAAGCATCGTCGTCGCTGATGGGTACATCAAACCAGCGAGGATTGAGAAAGCAAGACAAGCTTTCGCTACTCCCAAGTCTGTGTGGAAGTCAACAACACTCAGCACGAAAAAAAAAGATCGAGATTTTCAACTCCAATGTGAAGTCAGTCCTACTATACGAATCAGAGACTTGACGAGTCATAAAGAGCACCTCAAACAAACTACAGACCTTCATTAGCAGCTGTCTTCGCTCAATACTCAAGATCAGATGGCCAGAAAAGATCAGCAACAGCAAGGGATCTCTGGGAGCGAACCAATCAACCAGGAATCGATTGTGAAACAAATAGGCTGGAAGAAATGGAGATGGATTGGAGGCCATACTCTGAGAAAATCGTCATGTGAAATCACACGCCAAGACATCGCTCGAGTGGAACCTGAAAGGGAAGCGGTGAGTTGGTCGTCATTGCAAGGGTGACTTGGAGGAGGTCATGCGAGGAGGAGATGAAAGCGTGTGGGCAGACTTGGAGCGAGGTGAAAAAGTTGGCAGAAAACCGAAGGTAATGGAGACGTAGGGCTGAAGCCCTATGTTCCTCTAGGAATTAAAGGAAATAATATATACATGTTTATATATATATATATATATATATATATATATATATATACTTACCTATACAGTAGACCCGGCCAACCTTCAAATGTTGATACAGCGAATAGAGTAAGCATAGCATTGGGTACATTATCAAAATTCAATGGATTATTTAACCATACACGTGCCAATACCACTGGTCGACTAATATCACCCAGTTCATATGTGATATATTGACCACTATATATATAAAAATGTTTAATAATACAATAAGTAGAGAAAATATTCATTGTCATATATGTAAGGAAGAAAGTTATAAAGGATATAACTAAAATAGTATGATAATAATAATAATAGTGTTTGACCACTCCTATGTGTATCTATTAATTCACTTGCTCATGTAGAGCGAAATATATGCAGGTCGTTTGATAGATACATGCTTCATCTAAGCGAGTCTAAGAACATTATCCCTCTTGACTACTACATAAAGGTAACAGTGGATCAATAACATTGAACATATAGTGAACACTGGCCAATCAAATTTGCACGGAAAATTCATTCACAGTCATCTACAAAGTCAAAATAAGCCTCCGCAAAAAAGATAAGCTTCTGTATACTTTGTGTTGCTGAGGGTCTTGGTGGTTCAGATGGAAGATCCACACAAAAAAAACTCCAACCCGCCTTTCTACCCTACTATTTTGGTATTAAAAATTGTTTGAATGTTTTGTCTGAGATATTGGTAACATCTATTTTTTAACATTATTGTTCCCTTGGGTTCCTAGTGGAACAGAACGCTTCAGCTGCACGTCTCCAATTGCCACTTCTGTCTTTCTTCTGCTGTACATTTCACCTACACCCATCCATGTTAGTCCATACTCTTTCAACTCCTCCCTCTTCACACCATCTCCTCCATGTCACCATCAATGTGACGTCCCACTCGCCGCGTGCTTCCCTTTCGGCCTGGTTCCACTCGAGAAATGGCCTGACGCGTGCGCGCGATGTCACCCAGACGCCTCCATAGCGAGCTAGTGTCCAATCCATCTCAATCCACTTTCTCCTGCATATATGTTGGGCGGTGATTCCTTCTTGTTTTGTTTGTTTGTTCCCAGCCATAGTTTTTTGTTGTTGATGATTCTTTCCGGCCCGCCCGGCCATCTGATCTTCAGTATAGATCCAGCAAAGACAGTTGTTGGTTGATGTAGGTCTGCATGCAACAAGCTGTTGGTTGGAAATATTCTTTGTGACCCGCCCGCCAAGTTTCTCTCTGATCCGTATAGAAGAACTGACTTACTTGACGTGTTTGTATTGAAAATCCGACTGAATTTTGTTGTTGATGCTGGCTGAGTGACGAAGATTTCCAGATTGATTTCAGTTGGTTGATCAATGTGTGTGTTTCTCGCCTTCCCGATTCCTGATTCTCGATTTGACATCCTCGTCCGTTCCAACTTCCTGTAGTTGAGACAATGCTCCTTAGCTAGATAAGTGAAGTGAATGAAGTAACCTCTTTCGAATCCCTCCTGTTGATGGTGATTGACACTGGACGTTGCTGTTGGTTGGTTATTTTCATAACCTCCTTCTTGTTCACCTATGTTCACTTGGAGTCCTGTCTTCGCCGGGTGCTTCTTCGACCAGTTTATCGGTCGGTTTTCGCTTGTAAGTCTTCGATTTTGTGTGACATCAACCCTTTTTTTAAACTAAATCTTTATTTACTCTCTCTACCTATTACATAATTTATCTTGGCCATTTGTCTCCAAGCTGTTTTACTAACATTCTGATCTCTAGTTGTCTTTCATATTACATAACCCTAGCCAATACCTACTGATCTTCACCCCCCTGGATACAGTTTGATTATTCATCTGATTTTTCTGAAATATTTCGATTAGGTAAACAATAACCCTAGGTAATTTTCATTCTTGTCTGACAAACCTAATGTACCAACATACACATATAAACATATAAATATTTATTCAGAACAAAATATTTAGAGCTCGAACAACTGTTTTCAATAAATTCTTCTTCAGGCTCTACAATTATAAATCCATTAATGTAAATTTCGACTTTTATGATTTCATGACCTTTCTTATGATTTTATTAACTTAGGTTTAAATAGTGCTTTTCTAACTTACTATCGTATTTACAAAATCCTGTTCATTCCACTTCATTATATTCATTATTATTATTATTATTATTATTTGACAATCATTCACCAGTAGTACATTTAACTTTAATTTTACACCATATCATCGTTATTATTTTACAATCATTCTTATTGTTGTTATTTTCAACCTTAAACTTAAGTCTACACCGCCCCATTCGTTGGTTTATTTTCATATTGCCTCACACACCCTGATTACACTCACTCTTGAAACCTGTATTTTCTGTTGACTATATTTATATATATACACACACATCATTAAATTATATATATCCAAACCAAGTTCACTTTTAACGGTTTGAAAAAATTTGGGCATTGGGTATATGATATTCATTATAATAGAGGTTTTTTGTATTTCCCAATGAATGAACAAACAATCTCGTTTTGTTTTTTCATTCATCGGGAAATACAAAAAAACCTCTATTATAATGCACACATCATTAAATTAAATTATTTCATCGCATTCTGTCCCATGCTGTTATTGACCATGCATATTAAAAAACTATATGACTATTGTTTCATCCCATCTTATACTTGTTTGCACAATACACTTTCTGATATGATTCTAATTCGCCTTTACTGGCTATTGTATGCTTACATTAATGGATTTATAATTGTAGAGCCTGAAGAAGAATTTATTGAAAACAATTGTTCGCCCTCTAAATATTTTGTTCTGAATAAATTATGGGAATACTTAATTTACATAAATATTTAAATATTTGCGATTTTACAGCTAGCTAAGTGAATGAATTCACCCAGAAGAGACTCTCCGTCGACCTGCTTGCTTTTATATTCATGTCTAGATGGGTATTTTTCGTCCTTATATTATTCTGCATACATTACATCAATGTAACAATGTTAGAATGCTTGCCGACCACCTTTTATTTGGTCTGGGGTTCGATTCTTGACCAATATATGAATTCCTTAACTTCGATAAGGTTACTAGCCGATAGTAATTCTGAGAAAGAGGGTAGGTTGATCGAGTGGCTAGCAAACTTACCTGAAGGGCTAAATCTTTTGATTAGAAGCTGATAATGAAGATTTGTTAAATTTGCGAAATCGACTTATAAGTGTTACACGTCTAGTGTTCATGTTCACTTAGACCAAAAAAACATTAAATTCACCTCTGAAAAAAATATTATCCCATGGGTTATGAATAGGTAACTAATATCAGGAGACAGAGTGGACCTCAAAGTATACATTATCCAGTGTCTAATTAATGGTGAGGCTCAATAGGATCACTTTCTAACATGTCATGTGAGATAATATGCCATTTTTCGTAATACAGATAGTTATTTTATAAATACACAGCTGAATAGAAATTCGTAGATGAATGAAGTACACTTATGTCATATATCCATTATAATAAAGATTTTCTTGTATTTCCCAATGAATGAATGAATGAATGAAAAACAAAACGATATTGTCATTGTTTTTATTGACAATTCACTATTCATTAATGCTGCTGCTAATAGCTTTATCACAGTGGTATTATTAAATCAGAATTTGCAAAATCCACTCAGCTTATATATATAACAACTTAATCATCGTTCCTCAGCATGGAGTCGTTTTTGCATTGTCAAAATGACCAACTGGGAAAGATAAGAAAACCACGTGTAGGTTGTTGGATTTGATAATTACGTAAAATTATAGAAGCAGGATGTGTTTATATAAGGAAATTTTTTATCACATTCGTGTTGATTTTGTCATTACACTGGGCGAGGGACGTGTTGTAACCAGATCAGGTTTTTTTTTTTTGATTTACAGCTTGATTCCACACTGTATTTTTTGGTACAAGTATGGAATTTTCAGCATGGATATCGGTAGCCCTAATTTTGCAGGCCAACCATAGATATCAGGTGTGCGCCGGCGTGGGCTCGAACCCCGGACCATGTTCATCTTTCAGGCTATTGATACAATTCTTCTGATTGACACTAGACGTTCTTTGTGATTTCTAAAATACTTTTTCTGGATATTGATTTCAATATTGTCCAAATCGATTTTGTGATCTGATTCTGTAGCGTGTAGACAGATCTATGGCTGATGATATTTTAAGCTTTTATAGTTCACTAACTGGATTTCTCGGTGGTCGAACAGAGTCGGGCCTACCGTGTTCATTTCTTCCGATTTTCATTCCTCTCTGGCAATGCTTGTCCGATGTATATCGCATGACATTTCAAGCAAGCATTTTATTTTATAGACACAATTAGATGGATAATCTTTAGGGATTTGGTCTTTTATATGGACAATGTTGCTTTGCAGTGTTCGTGTTTGATGTTTTGAAGAAAACTCAGATGTCTAGCTTATTGAGTACTCTTCTGATATCGTCTGACGTGTCTGCTCTATATGGAATGATAACTGTTGAGGTCCATGCTTTTGGAATACGTGTTTTCGACCATATTTTATCTCGTTGTTGATGAAGTTAATTTGCTTCAGAGTCTCAGTAATGTTTGATATTTCTTCTTCTTTTCATTTCTCATCCGTTAGCAAAGACTGTGCTCGCCCAAGAAGACTTGTAATAACTGATATTAGAAATATATATTCTAAAAATTTAGTAAACAGGTAGCATTGCCTGCTTGCCTGTCTGTCAGCCTGCTGGTGATTTGTATTTGTTGGTACCCACCGGTAAGTTGCATCAGTAAATATCATATATCACAAATGATGATTAAGAACAGAATTTTGGCGCTTTGATGGAGAATAATTCTATATCATGGAGAAAATTCATTTTGATCAAGTTTCACAGTGTCATACAGTTATCTTTACTGATAATGACGCTTCGAGCACAATTTATTGCTGGTCATAATTTTGTCAAGGTACTCATATAACTTTTTAACTTCGTTTAAATAACTCCATTATTTTTCATCGCTTTATTTGGTTGGTAGTAAGTAATATATTTTCCATATTTTTCGGATAAGTGATGAGTCATTGCATCCTATTGCATGTGTTTGGTGTAGACTCGATGGACAAGGATTCAGTAATCAACCTCTCCCTCTCTCCACCTATCTAGATTACTTTTTAGAATTTTAGCTATGTCTCATCATATTGTGTGGTTGCGGGTTAAACGCATACAGTGCAATTGCTGAGTTTTCTTCTAAATTACTTATCTTCTCGGGTGGGGTAAACCATTCGAATGCTAGCTAAATTCTTATCTTCTGACAGGCAATCTCACTACTCCTGTTCGATCTACTAGTGCGATCCACGTAGTTGATGTAACTCACAGAGAATTGCAAGGTATTTCATAAATTATATTATTATTTCATCTAATTGGGTCAAATAGGTCCTTGAACCTGCAGAGTTTGTCCCTGAGTGAGTTTGTAGGCCTAAATGTTACCACTCTAATTCCTGCTTTAATAAGAATTCTACTACTACGTGTAGGCAGGGTTTTAGATATCCCCCTACTTATTATATGGTAAAACTGTAGATGCCTCGTATTCTTTCTTATCTATGTTATCACTATTAGTTCCACTAGTATTTTTATTTCTCTTTTGACCTTATTTGATCTTCTTAATGAATTTCATAAGATATTTATTCAACACAAGTGGCTTTATTATCTATTTCATTTCATCATTTAGGCTTTTTTTGTTATACTACTTAGTATTATTGCTCACTTTGAAAGGCAAGTAACTAAGCCAGTCTTTTACAGATAACGGATGAAGTGATGGCCTTAAGTCTAATTGTCTACTAGCATCCGTTCTCTTTTTATAAACACTAGTGTGTAGTTTACCTTCTTCCATTCGTTTGATTTTACAACTTCTAACATAAAAAATATTCTCCTTTTTAATTTTCCGATTCAAATGTGAATTTTATTCTCTTTACTAGTGAGTTTATATGTCTGAAGAAACTAAGGAGAGAGAGAAAGAGAGGTATGTTCTGTTCATAATACTGCAAAGATATCACCCATATATCTCCACAAAAGTGTATTAAGGGTTATATTTTCCAAGCTATCATCCATGAAGAAATAGCCTAGGGTTGGGGATACTGGTGATCCATCCCATCGCTGCACCTTCTTTTTGTCTATAGACATGAGGTATAATTGAATTTCTAGAATATATAATTTCCTCAGTGAGTAGCTTTGTCCTATGACTAATTTCGGAATCGGAAGTTAGTTCTCTTTTAAGTGCTTCTAAGGCCGCCATCTTGACTGGTATATTAGTATAAAGACTAGTTATTTTTTTAAAAACTAACCATTGTTCCATTATTCTCTAATTGAATATAATTTAGTTTCTTTTTCATTTCATATAAATTAGCTAGCCGAGAGTCTAAATGACGTCTAATAGGACATAATATCAGAGCTAAGTGTTTCGATAATTCATAAATAGGGGTATTCCTGAAATCTCCTATACAGGTCGTATTGGTTAACCTGGTATGTATTATTATGCCTTATTTATTTTATTAGAATTATTAGTTTTAGGCATCAAATTAAACCATTTATTGATTATGAGCAATAAATTGTGCTCAAAATATGGTCATCAGTAAATATTACTGGATAACACTAAGAAACTTTATCAAAATAACTTTGAGTGGATAGAGGATTTCACCATGAGCGTTGTACTTTCATTATAAAGAAAGTTATTTTGGAGTATTGATTTTGTAGGAATTTTTGTTTCGTTGGTTGGAGGATTTCATCATGAGCTGACATCAGTTAGAGAACCACTGGAAAACCTGAGAGTACTGGGCAGCCGACTCCTAAGCCTAGTTTGGGCCTCTTCGTCAGTACGCACCCACAGCCAGTATTCGAATCCAGGACCTTCTGGATACAACGCGACCTTGTAAACCATTGAGCCACTGGGACCCAATCCAGTGGCACGTGACCAGTAGGTTGGAGCATGTTGAAGGTTATGCAGTAACTCATCAAAAAAGACATTGGGAAATGGTCACGGTATGTCGGGAATTGGCAGAAGTTATAATTTATTGTCCATTGTATCGAGTCCCAGTGGCTCAATGGTCTACAAGGTCGCGTTGTATCCAGAAGGTCCTGGATTCGAATACTGGCTGTGGGTGCGTACTGATGAAGAGTACCAAACTAGGCTCACGAGACAGCTGTCCAGTACTCTCAGGTTTTCCAGTGGTTCTCTAATTGATGTCAGCTGATGATGAAATCCTCCAACCAACGAACCGAAAATTCCTACAAAACCAATACTTCAAAATAACTTTCTTTATAATGAAAGTACAACTCTCAAGTTTCTTCTGAGACTTAAACCTACTTGGTTCAGCGCTGATGACAGACTTATAAAGTAGAGCTGATATTCAATGAACTTTTGTAGGAAATATGGAAACTAATGTCTAAACATTTCATGTTGTTATTTCCATACATCTTTTAGCTGCCCATATCAAAAACTACTTGAAACACTAAAGTGAATGAGTGTTGACCAACTTGCCCTTGGACTGTTGAAGGTCGATAAGACCTCTTCTTGTCTGTAGGCATAGTGAAGGTGATTTACGATTTATTTCAGGAAGTAGTGAATTCTTTTGAGTATATTCCGGATTTTATATCATTTTACAAATATGTCAGCTTTTCAAGTGTATGATCAAAAGGTATTTGATCTATTTCAATTTATATTTAATTATAACAGATGTCACCTAAAGAGCTGTTGAACTGCACTAACGATCGAATTCGGGGTCCTTATGTGTTAAATGGCATGCAAGTTACAATAATCCCACGTTGTCAGAGCGCAGTAGTCCCTAAGTTTTAACATTTACAAATTTGCGGTATATAAGTTCTATCACTAACCAATGCCATCACTGAGTACCTAGCGTAAAGCCAGACTTGTTAGACTCCACTGGTCACGATCTCTTACGAGGATTTCAAGAAAATCCACTGTCCAGATTTGATTTGAATGTGTTGGTTTGTAGGGATCTGGTTGGTTTCAAACCAGAGATGGTCAACATGCTTGGTCTAGTAACCTGAAGGTTGGGGTTCAATTCCAGATGGAATCGTGGGTGAGTACTGATGAAGAGCTACATAATTGGGCGAAACAGCTATCCACAGCTCCCTGGTCTTCAGTGATCTCTCTAACTGATTTTAGTTCGTGACCGGAATCCGAAAAAGAGAGATTACTGTTGGTGGCTCTATGTATCATGAATTGAGTGAAGTCAGAACTGATGAGCCATTGGATTTCGCGTCACAGTAGTTGAGTGATCAGCTAGCTTGCCTCGCAACCTGAAGGTCCTGGATTCTATCCCTGATGCGTATGAGCTGATGAAGAATCCTCAATGGGGTCAGAACGCCTGTCTAATATATCCTGGTCCTCATTGGTTCCCTTGTAACAACAGAAGACAAGGGACAGGCAACAGATCGTTTATTACGGAAATCAGCACGTGGTGACCTGGACATTGACGTAAATTAATGTCTACTAATTGGCTAGCAGCCTGCTCTCACTACACCCTGACTTATGTCAACTCTTAAACTAATTTGAAATTTTATTTAATTGCACACAACAAAAAAGTAATGTTTCAATCAGCATATCTGGTCCCCTTTTTTGTGCACTTACCGACATTGACTTGGTACAAGACGTGAACTGTCTGTACATGAATGAAATTTACCCGCAAACAATTGTACACCAATAACAGCAAACATAAATTCCAACAGAAAAGTAACCATCATTATTTTACCGATACTTTTTACAGCGACTACAACACATTGGACAACATGCTGGATAAAAAAATTGGAGAGGGGGGGGAGAGGTGAAGAATGAAAAATAGAAAATAAGATTATTTGCACCAAATTATATATATATATATATATATATATAAGTAGTACAAATAGTGTGCATCGGTGGTATGACGGTTAGGACGCTCGCCGACCATGCACATGGTCCGGGTTTCAATCCTCGGCCACTGACGCACTCCTTTAGCTCGCTAAGCCAAAAATAATGCTGGTAAAGAGGAAAGGTTAGGCATGAGGCTAGCAACCCCATTCTGTAAAATTAAACACTGCTACAGAAACTTCAAGCCACTAGCTTGAAGCCCTATGTTCCACTGGGGAACGTGAAGGAAAAAAAAGTATAAATACACAGTGAGGAGTTCTGAAACTCTTGCAAATTCGATGGCGTTAATAGATTTATGCAGATTCAGTTGACTTCAAGGGAAGATTTTAACAGAGTTTGACATCATCTGAGAAAACTACTTGAGACGAAAAAAAAATAGCGGTTGTGTATTCTGTCTTCCTCTAAAAAAATCTCCTCAGTTCTGACCAACAGACCGGCAGAATCAACTCACGTTAAGGCAGAGCAGCAAATACCTGTTATGCAGCTAATTTATTCATTCCTTTAGTTCCGAATGGCAAATGAGACTTCAAGCTTTTGAAATTACACTAACATTTAGCAGGATTACTGGCCTCACTTACGACATCTGTCTTTTCCCTTGTTACTATCGGCTTTTGAACTAAGGTAGGTTTGGGAGCTTTTTGTGCCGGGAATTGAACTTTAACCACCTACCTAGATGATTGGTGAGAATCTTAGCCTTGAACCACCGACTCACTCTGTAACTGTGTGTAGAAAAACACTGTCGTTTAGTGTTATTAGTCAGCAGCTACCTGTACAACTAACATATTGAGTCCATCTCGTGGAATTAAGCTCATTAGAACTCTGGATAATGTACTTTATTGTTATTTGTTTAGAAATCGAATTCTTTACGAAAATATTTTATTTGTTTTAAGTTGAAATCCACAATTATATAAGTGTAACAACAGAAGACAAGGGCCGGCAACAAACCATTTTATTACGGAAATCAGCACGTATTTATATATATTTCCTGTACATTATTAAAGCTTATGCAAGTAGAAAAAGGCAGTCTTCTGATTTGCTGTTTCTCAGAAGTTAAGCAGACAAACGCAGTCTTCTGATTGCTTGTTTTCGAGATTTCTCGGGAAGTGGAGCCATCTATCTGCGAATCATATTTGGCCACGTTTATGTCTGCTGTGATTGGTTGTTGAATCAGTCTTGTTCATATTTTCTCACGGCCAACATTAGTGACCTAGACATTGATGTAAATTAATGTCTACCAATTGGCTAGCAGCCTGCTCTCACCACACTCGTCCTCTTCATCCGTTCTGCCCTGTGGTTGAAACAATGTTTTCCAGCTAAGTGAAGGAAGTCACTTCTGTTAAATCTCTTCTGCTGACAGTGACTGATGTCGGTTGCTGTTGCGGTTCGTTGGTTATCTTCATCACCTCCACCTTCTCTATGTCCACCTGGAGTTCAATCTTCGCTTCCTGCTGCTTCAACGAGTTCGTTGGTTTCCGCCTGTACGTCTTCAAGTTTGTGTGACATCAGACATAAATCATCGGCGAAATTCAAATCTTCTAGAGTCTTCTTATCGGTCCGTGTAGCTTATTCCTTTCCCCTCTATCCCCACAGCCTGACGCATAATCCAGTTCACCACAATAAGAAATATCATTGTGAGTAATAGCGGGCAGTCTTGTCTGACTTCAGTATTTACTTCAAACACCTCACAGAGTTTTCCATTGTGGATCTTCTGTCTGACACGTACTACTGCCATATATCTGTTCAGTGAGGTTGATAAAGATTTACACAGAAATCATTCCATCAGGTGTGTGTGTGTGTGCGTGTGTGTATAATGTGTTAGGAAGGTTAGATTAAGTCATCTGTATACATATAAAAAGTACAAGCTTAATGAAGAATAAAAAGGTAAAAATGATTTCTACTAAGATTCTGAGCATGATCTATAAAGCGTGAAAGAATGAAGCAAAAAAAAGACAAAAAACAGAAGTTTTCTCTGTGCTACAATGCACACTAACCCACCCACACACACACACGCAAAATGCCACACGTACATCATAGATTAAGGTGATGTAGCAACAATTTAGTACAAAAATAAAAATCAATATCTGATAAATAGTTTTCTTTTTGATTTTGTAAAGTGTGATAGAGAACAAAAAAAAAAGAAACAACACACACGACATAATTCAGACAAATGTGACAAATGACTTCATAATTGATTTTCTATAAGAGGACAAGAGCTATTAAGTAGCAAAAAATTTTAAGTTTAATTACAATAGTTGACTTCAACTAGGTAAATCATTAAAAGTCAGAGACTAGTGAACAGCTCTGCTGTCCTAGTCTGGAACACTTCAGTACTGATCATCCCATCATACCATCAGCCCCAACGGGTTGATCTCTGACGAAATCTCAGCACGGATACAGAGGGCTCGTTTCGCACATTCCAATTTACGCCATCTCTAGCGCAGGCGTGATATACGGCTGGCTGTCCATTAAAGGGTGGATGTACTGCTCACCAGTCCGCTCCATCCTCCTTTATGGCTGTTAGTGACACCTGGCCATTGAGAGTGGAAGACATGAAAAGCCTAGCTAGCTGTCATTGATCATAGGCGTCTGCATTCTATCTCCCGGGTGAAGTGATATAGTAGGATGAGCAATATTAAGGTTAGGTATTAGTCGAGTACTAGGTAGGGAGGGGAAATCAATAGACGGGAGTGTGAACTTACATCGACTGAGATGGTTAGGACATGTGTTACGCATGCCTGACTAGTCATCGCCTTCCTCGACGGGCAATGTTAGCTGACATAGGGTCAGGCTGGAGAAGAGCTATTGGCGGTCAAACCAAAACATGGCAGTAGTCAATGAAATCTACAACAGTTAGTCTAAGCCAGCCAGCCACGTAGGGAGGTGTAGACTTCCTGACTGGTTGGGGTCCTCGGGACGGTGAAACCAATCAAGGCTGAAAACAATTGGTGGTACGGCTCAAAATCGTTCTCAATGGCTAGCGCTGATGCATCCACTCCTTGTGACTTATGATTTCCAATCAAACTATATTGTTCTTCGTTATTACTATTCCTTTGTCTCACACCTCTGTTTATTATCTTTATTATGCATTTCTTCTACTTTCTTCTCTTGCTTTGTGTGTTACAAAGAGGGAGTGTGGCGATTTGAACTGCTGCACATCTGGTGCAAAGTTCTATGTCGAAAACAGATAGACAGACAGATCATCCCAACAAGGATCGAACCCAGGACATTCTGAATTCTAGGTGGCCTCGTTCACTATACATTCTCTGAGACGGAATCTGATGGCTGAGATTCTACCAAAAACTAACTTGTCGTATTGTGAATGGCGTTTAAACTTGTAGTCTCAGTGGCTTAATGGTCTACGAACTCTCTTTGTAACCGGAAGGTACTGAGTTCGAGCTCCAATAGGTGCACACTAGTGAGGAGCCTTGAAATAAGACGAAACGGCTGTCCAGTACTCCCCAGCAGGTTTTCCAGTGGTGCTCTAACCAATGTCAGCTTATGAAGACACTGAAATATTTCAAGGGAATATGGAATCTAGCGGTAATGATGAGCTTCCAAGTTTTAGTTTTTTTTACAGCATATTTAGTTTCACATAGGGAGGTGCAGACTGCCTGACTGGGATTGATTAAGCGGTGAGAATCAATAGCTGGCGAGTTTTGATGGCATAGATCAAGGCAGCCGTTGTCAATGACTCAGATGAATTCACTAATTTTATGATTTCTATGACCTCTTAATAAATCCTAATTACTCTTCAAGTCTTCATGGATTTATTCCCCTTTTATGAATTTGAATAAAGCAAGAATAACAGCGGTGGTTTGTGCAGAATAATATGGTAACATTTTCAACAACGTACATACAAATGTTGAATTTACTATGGAAAATGAAAATGATGGAATGTTCCATTTCCCTGGACATTGCTATGCAACGCATAGAAGATGGTAGTCTCCAGAAGTCAATTTACTGAAAGCTGACATGGAATGGACAATACTTGCATTTTAATAGTTTTTGTCCAAATAGCTATAAACAAGCACTAATCAATACTCTGTATGTACTATAAAGCGAGGAGAATATGCTCTGCAGAGAAACTGGAGAAAGAATTTACGATTCTCGAATAGGTGTTGAAAAACAACGGTTATTCTTAAAGATTCATTAACAAATATGGAAGGTGTAAAGGCTCAAATATCAAACAAATCGCAGTTGAAAAAGCCTGTCTTCATTCAACTAGATTTTAAAGGTGAAACATCGCAGCAATAGTCATTAGAAGACTGGGTACGTCACTAGGCAAAGCCTATCCTGCAGCTAGGTTGATTCACGTCCGTCGAACAACATGCTCTTTGGTGAAATCAAAAATCGATACATACTGTTCTCATCTTAACTCCATCTGTGTATACAAATTTACATGTATCTGTTCGAGGATATACACTGGTAGAACAGAAAGAAGAGCACACCTTCGATGCTTTGAAAATGTTCCGAAAATCCTACGTCTCAAGGATACGAACGCCTGCAATAATGCCATTACCATGCAACTCCTTGATAAGGGTCATGAGGTAAAAATCGAGAAATCATTTAAAATTATCAATAGATAAATGAACTCGATTCTGCTCAAGATTGACGAAGTAATCTCTATCAAATGCTTGAAACCAGATTTATGAGTTCAGAAAGAAGCAGTTATCTTTCTTTCCTTGCTGTGCCTGGTAACTGGATGTCTCTATCATTTCCTTCATTTGACCACGTAATTTTTGGCTTTAACCTCACTCCTCCCCGTTTGATATAGGGTAATTTTGCTTGTCTCTTGTTTCTATAATTTGGGTTGAACTCAATGCATTGTTACCTAATTTATTAGTCACTCAGCATCTTATGTATCTCTCATCTTTATTACGTAACC